ATCCAAATACCAATCACCAATATCATTACCTCCTCCTCTCCCATGCCAACCTCAGTAGATAAAATTGGAAGTGTGCTTAGGTAACTTTCTTGAGAAAGCTACCATTTTCTTTCTGTCACTCTCTGTTCTTTGCAGCTGGTAAAATGACAGTTCAGACTTAACTTTTACATAAGCTAGTTTTAGACATTTTCCCCCCAGACATTCTTTAACTATTTCCATTATACAGGACACACACTCGCGGGATCATTTTATGCTTTCACGGAGTTATTAGGCAATCACTGTATCCTGGGTCGTTGTTAGAGGTCATACTGCAGATCCAGAAGCACATGGAGAGTAGCAAGAAGTGTAGAAGTCAGGGTGTTGATTATTGAAATAATGGTCATTTTGTGGGCTCTTGCCTTTCGCTGGGCTTCCCCTACCCACTGCCCACAAGCCACTTATTTTCCTGTGAACTCCAGCATCTGTCTCCCCAGCGAAAGCAGCCTGGTACACGTGTGCAAGTTTAATGCTGAAAGGGAGGGTCAGCCTTCCCCATACATAATCACTGTTTTATGGCTTTCACTCATTCCTGAGGTGTTAATGCAGATCAAATGGGAAACACTTGAGACAGAACCCTTGCAGCTACCGCTCTGCCTGGCTCTCCCCTCTCAATCGTTAATTCTTATGGTAAGATCTAAAGGTAATTTTGTTTGCTCTCTTAATGCCTTGCAGGTCTCCCAGTGGCCCTTACATATCCTTTCTCAAATTCCCATCTTGATCAATTGTTTGCAAATAATTAAGCTTTTAAGAGATAATGGCAGGAGGCTAATGTACACAACAAAGGCAAGGTCTCCCGCACTGTCTGTTGGACTGCGGTCAAATTTACTCTGATATACCAAAGTGATTAGGTTGATTGGCATAGCAGGCAAGTGCTGTACGTCTTCCCTTCACAAGAACTCACTGATCTTTCTTAAACTAAGGTTCTTGTCATTTAGATTCAGTAAAGCAAAGGTATTCAGGACAACGGCCAGGGGTGGCCTTAGTTGCAGCGGTTTGGAAAGAGTTTCTCATTTTATCCCTAAAGTGGCACTTTTCAGGGATCCCCCTTTACCTCTTACAGAATGACATCTGCTTTTGCCCACTGCATGGCCTCATCAACCCTGTGGGTGGAACGCAACAGGGTTCTGGGTGTTTTTACAGCAGCCTTGCCTGTGGCATGCTGGCTTTTTGTCAAGTCATTTTTTTTTTTAGGTCTACAAAGGAATAACTCATACTAGCCACAAAAAAACTTATCTAGTAAAGATGCACGGGATTTAAGATATTTAAACATATTGGGTTTCAGTTGAAAAGCCTCCTTCTTTGTGAATTTTTGTGGATTAGCTACATGAAGTCATGGCTTTCATGTGATTCTAGCCATTATAGGCTTTTTTTCACGGAATTGAAATGTTTGTGGGACACCAAGGCCAAGAACCATGAGGAAAAAAAACCATTCAGCTGACCGACCATAGACAAGGGTTTAGAAACGTTGCTGATACCTTTGTTTCCTCCTTAACAATGGCCAAATTATTAGGAGGTTTAATTTCGCTCAGGCTCATTCATTTCTTTGTAGATGTATAAGGAAACATATCCTGAACAACTCAAATGCCTTAACGGAGGCAGAGTGCTGGGTTACCATAGCTTGAGGCTGCCTAGCAATTATGCTGCATGAAATTAGACACAGTTTGTTCCAGTTACTTAAAATCAGATCACATGAAAAGTGACAGAGGGAGAAAAAGATAGACCTTTCTCATTTTATGATACTTAAATTATGAAATCCGCAATTATATGATGGGAAGAGACAACTGAAATTTGCACTGAAAATTTGAGGGCCATATTACTGCTCTCTAATGATATACAATTCAGGTAATTGTAATGACCCAAAGAGAATTTTCTGGACACCACTTGCATAAATAAAATGTGAGCTCCACTAGCTTTACAAGAATGTATGTAAAACTTGCTCACAAACAGGCATGCAAAAATACTCTCGAAAACACAGGACTACTAAATTACTGTGACAATTCTCAATTTCCAGAGTAACTAAAGATAAATGGCATAAATATTAATTTTTATCCAGTTCTGGTCATAACATTAAGACACCACTAACAAGACAGGGTAAAGGTGTTGTTATTCAACTCTGCTGAAGAAGGACTATTGGCGTATTTATTTGTTCCACTGACAGATCTCCATAGTACCTGGAAAACTGTAAGCAAATAGTATTACAGAGAATGTTGTAGATTGGAAATTGTTCGTATGCATGTTCACAGCTGTAGATGGTAAATAGTGACTATGGCTGGATGTTAAAATTTGTGTATTTCAAAATCCAGTTAATAATTTGTGTTGGGTAATACCGTGAGAGCTACTAGCCTGAGTAACTTTTAACTTCAGTGTGTCTTGAAACCCTGGGTGACAAAACTGAGGGTTAGAAAAGCTGTCCCTTGTTCAAAGTTGCATAGTCGACGAGTGGCAACATAATTTGTACAACTAATAGGGTCATTTATATTATGTACAATTCTTCAACTAGTACAGATATAGCACTATTATATCAAATTATCACTCAATATTATGTCCATAAAAAGAAGTTCATTTGGTTTGAGTTGTGTGGCAAACATTTATACAGTCGTAGTTATAGTATAAACCTAAAGGAAATAGGGAGCTTTTCGTTCAGGACCCAATCATGAGATTTCTGGCTATAGTTCTCAGTATTATTTTAAGTAGGGTCACTGTCACCTATAATCTGAGGCCTCTTGTGAGATTTGTATACTTTATTGAAAAGAGTGGCTGACGTCACTTTGAAAAATGAAACAGAGAAACTAGTGGATGCATCTCAAATTGGATTGTTTATGCTTTCTGTGGGCTTTGAAAAAAATTTGTCATTCATGCTAATGTTGCATCTCTGGAGAGTATCTATGTGTCTCGATAAGTTCAGGCTCTTCTCTTAGCTCCACAAGTATTTACTGATTTCCTCGTTTGAGCTAGTCTGGGCTGTGAGGATGGAGAATGAAGAAGGCAAGCTGATTGGAGAGCTGATACAGGCGGATGGCAAAAGATAGCCCGGCAAGGAAACACATACTTAAAACAAGTGGTTCGGATTCTGATGCTTGCTAATAATAAGAAAAGGATTGGAGGAGAAGGTGGGGTAGTGGATAGTGGGGAAGGAAAAGCTTGAGTTTTGAGCTGAGCTCTGAAAGTAACATCAGAATAGGCGCTTGGGTGACAGGAAGCGCCTTGTGTTGGAAGAACAGAAAGGACAGCAGCGTTGGGCATGGGGCGGCCGGGGAAGGAGGAAGACGACAGAATCTGAGAGGTGGGCAAGGCTGGGTGGTGGCTTGTCTCAAGGACATGGTAAGCGTCTGGAGGTTTTTGATGGAAGACATTAGCAGGGATCACTCACAACATTTGTCACATTCCCCAGTCACAGTGAGGCTTGACTCCGCAAGGGAAGGAGGATATTCACTGACCCGCGACTCCTGCTCACAAACCCTTCTGCTGGCCAGTTTCCTCACCTGTAAAATAGGAGGGATGATAGATTCCACTTGCGTCACTCAAAGGGATATAATGGGGATTCATTACCATCCTGTCTGTAATGTACTTGGAACTCTTTAGAGACAGGCACTATATTCCATGAAAGCAAAGCCTTATTCTAATTGTGTATTTATTGATTAAGTGACAATCAAAGACAATGCTTATGGGAAAAATTGCTATGTCTCCTCCCTCCACAAATGTATCCCATGTGTATAGATACAGAACATATTTAAACTTACATGTAAGAGCACTGAAGTGGTCATTAACAAGTCATTTTAGCATTATTAATAAAATTGAAAGGTATGTTAATTAGCATTCAATAGACCAGAATTTAGTTTCTGTGGCAGAAATAGTTAAGTTGAGAGTTGGGGATGCCCTTTTCCATTCATAATAGAACAGATGGCTGACTCTCAGAACAGCTTTGTCTCAGGAGAATTTATGGAGAAGTGATGTTTCAGGCCAGCCAGTGACTCCTTAGATGGAAACCATACCCTCAGTTGCTCTTTTAGACTTTAAAAATGTCTATTTCAAATTAGATATAGCCCAAAATGTACTTCTGCCAAAACTCATTTCAGTAGATTTCCAAACATTCCTTTTTTTTGAGACAGGGTCTCACTATGTAGTTCAGGCTGGCCTTGAGTTTACAGCGAGGTCCTCCTGCCTCAGCCTCCCATGTGCTAAGAATACAGGTGTGTGCACCACCATGCCCGGCTTCCAAACATTCTTATAAGAAAGTGTGAATTACATTTTATTATCTAAACCTATAGTGTTTTGTTTATCCACTCTACCTCCCCGGGAACATAGCTGGGCTTCTTCATAGCATGCAAAATATGCTGGTCTTTGACCTTGTATTGACTTGTATTAGGAATCCCAATGTGGGTTGACATTCATACATGGAAATCAACGTTGGTTGAATTGTGATTGTTTGTGCTTTGCTGAAGAGCTAATATGAATAGCAGTTTAAACGAAATATACCCACTTTAATCCTGTTGTTTCTATGCAACAATATGGTATTTTGGAGGGAGAATGTCTCTCCTAAATATTGGTGTATCAGCTGTTGGTTAAAATTGTTCTTTAGAAGTCCATGGATCAATGAAAACACTGCATCAGGATGATCTACTTTTAGATGGTAAAAAATGGCTTGTCTCTATTTGAATCCTATGAAACATGGTGAAGATCTTACTGAACTTTCTGTGTTTGCAACAAATAAACTTGTTAAAGGATAAACTCAGTATCAAGGTTCTGCAAGTATCCTAAGTAGCTATTTATACACTTCACTAATCTTTGTAATTACCTTGTCTTTTACTGCCATTAATTAGATGATGTAGTGTTCCATTAATAAAAGCGACACACCTCAGCATTTTTACCTTTAATTATAGACTTCACTAGACATGCAGGTTATTGACAAAATGGCCTAAATATCGCCTGACACACACATCTATTTTTTTGATCTCTCTTAGCATCCTTACCCTTCTGAAGAACAGAAAAAGCAGTTGGCACAAGACACAGGACTCACCATCCTTCAAGTGAACAATTGGTAAGTAATTTGGCTTTGTGATTACACTCGGTCGGTTTGCCCCTCTGACAACCTGCAGCTAATGTTTTGGGTTAGGAAGCCACACCCAGTTGCTGTTACTTTCTTCTTGGCTTGTTGATCCAAAGGAGAAAACAAACTGTTGACTGATAAGTGAGAACGCTTTCTAGTATGGTTAACAAAGCATTGTGCTGTCTTCCACCTCCTTTGCACACTGACAGGTTTTGTGCGTAGGATGAGTGTGTGTTCCATTTCCATTGGCTATGCTCTGAAAATGTATACTCTTGCTTGGCTTTTTTTCCCTTCAAGTTCATCTGTGGGATGGTATCATCTTATTTGCTATAAAACAAAATCTGTCCCTCCATATCCATCAGTTTTCAACTCGTCAGTTAGACTTTTAGGGGGCTGTGCATTCAAGGATGGTCTTTTCTCGCCTGTTCAACTTTTATCCCCCAAATACTGAAAGGAGGAAATTATTTATCTTTCTACTTTGAAGCTAACCAATGGATGTATCTCAAGGGTGTGCCATAAGGGGCCAAGGGGTATAGCTCAGTGGCACGGCGCCTGCCTGGCAAGCATGAGGTCCTGAGTTCAATTCCCAGTTCCAAAACAATAACTAAAACATTCAAGGCTGTGCTGTGCTGTTTCTAAATGAAGTGTAAATGCCTGACTTGGGCCAAAGCTGAGATTGTACACCAAGTACCACCCAATGATATTTTGACAGTGTGCACCAGCATGCCAATAAGACTTTGAGAAAGTGTGATTTATTACCTTTTGTGAAGGTTCTGCAATCAGATTTTATATAGTCACCCAGAACTAGTGTCATAGTTGAAGGCTATCAAAATCCAATATCCTGTAAAACTAAGTGTATCTAATTAATTGTCCTAATATTTTTAGATTAGTGTTTATGATAGAGAAACCCTATCTTCTTTGAAGTAAATCCAGAAAAGGCCCAGAGCCTGGCTGGGAAAGGGGAGAACTGGAAATGCCAGTTTGCAGACAGAAATATTTCTTTCTATTCAATAAGTGTCAAAGATTAATATTTCAGAATCTCTGATTACATGGCCTAATCCATTTTGGTGAATAAATTTGTTCTTGATGTCCATTGCACCTACATTAACAGACCCTTCTCTGTTAGAAAGCCTAGCAGCCTTTGGGAGAGATTTCAGATATATTAAACCCCATTACAGAAAATGTAATTTCTGTCAATATAATCCCATGTATTCTGCAATTTAGTATTTTAGAGATAACAAGCTACTTACAATATATTTGCCTTTGGAGGATTAATTTACAAAGTGCACTATCTGCAAGACACAGACAGACTCACACAAGCATTGCTTGTAAGGGTTATCAATTTCTATGACCTTACTGTAGCCCTAAGATCAATTTTTGCAGCCCTCTTAGTCAGTGGATAGGAAGCCAACCGAAACCGTACTACATTTAAATATGATACTAAGAGTTTTGTTGCTCCTGGGGTTTTTTGTTTGTCTATTTTTTTTTAACCTGATACTACATTTTAATTTTCAAAACTGTTGCTATGACATATTTGGACTTAGTTTTTCATTGGTTCTGGATGATATCAGAGAGGAGACCATCAATTTTACATGTGCACCTAATCTCACATATTTTAACAGTTCAGCCAATACACAACCTTACTGCAGTGGAGGCTGTACAAACTTTCTACTTCCCTGAGAATGTTCTCGTTTGAAGGGAAAGGAGTGGCAGGATGAGCTCACTAATTAAGGAGCACTGACGCGCTGCCTCTCAGGTGATCTATCAGATATGTCATCTCATTCTCCTTGGCGTTGCTAGCAAACTCCATTCATAAACATAGTAACCAGAGAATAAATTCCAGCACAAATTGCTGTTTATGGACAGAGCATCTTATGAGATATTTTCTCTGAGTTCAGGGGCAGGAAAGCATTCCTATAATATCAAGCAATGTATATGAGGGGTAATCACAAGTTATGGCAAGGGCTGGGGATATAGCTCAATAACACAAGTGCCTGCCTGGCAAGTGCGAGGTCCTGAGTGTGATTCCTGGTACAAAAAAAAAAAAATTATGGCAGATGTTTAAATTTTTAAAAACTATAGTAAAAGACACATTAGAATTAATCCCCCTCAAAATATTTCCTCCTCGCTTTGAACACACTCATTCCGTCTTTTTTACCATTCTCTGAAGTGACTCTGGAGGTCCCATTTCATGTGCACCTTTAGTTGCTCTGTTCTGACTGCTTCAGTGTCCTGAGTTGGTTCAAAACATTTACTTTCATAGTCGGTTTGGCTTTGGGGAAAGGCCAGAAGTCCCATGGCGCCAGATCCAGTGGAGGAAGGAGAAGGCTGAGCACACAGCGATGTTTTCATGAACTGTCTTTCTGTTGCATGGCACTTGGCAGCGGTGTTCACCATATTTCTGATCAGACCTTGTGAAGACATTCATGAAAGAGGATTTCAGATCTGCTTCAGAAAGGGGCAAGAATGGTGGGGATAAGGGTGTGGAAAGTGAAGAGGAGCCTTTTCAGGAGCATTAATCACAATGTGTCTTTTCTATAATGTTTTTTAAAAATCAAGCTTTCATTGTATATTTTGATCACAGCTCAAGGGATTGTCATTTTCCATCTCCCCACTGGACAGCAGCAGGTCCAAGTCAGGGCTCAGGATTTAACTCACTTCATCTTATAATTAGAAAAGAGAAAAAAACTCCTTTTTAAAATGATAACATATTAAAAATAATTTTTAATGTACATACCGACTTTAAACTTCACACTGATACCTAACTTGGCTCAGATACATAACTTAAAATCACTTTTACTCAGTAACTTAGGACAAATCACAATTCTGTGCTAAACCGGCACTTTGTGTAGTGTGTATGTTCTCTTGTCCTTTCTGGAGTGAGAAGTGGCTTTTGCTTATATCTCTTTGCTTTGCATTTGGTTCTTAACACTTTTGCTGTAGGGAATGTTCCTAAAGTAACTAGAAGATGTAAGAGAGATTGTTTTAAGTTTGGTGAACAATGGCATTCCTGTGTTTAATTTCAATTTTAATGGTTTATTAATTTCATCCCAAACCTCTGTTTTTAAGAAACTGGTGATACATTTATTTTTCTTTAGGCTTTGAGTAGGAAATATGATACAAAAATGCAGACACCCAGATGGCATCATTTTGAAACCAAAGATGTCAGAGAATCTCAAATTGTGGCCTATTTGGAGACTAAAAAGCGGGGAAATTATGGAGTGGTTTTCTCTGTACTTTACTGTAATAAATAAAACTACATGGACCCTTTTTGGGAGCCTGTAAACCTTTTTTTCCATTGTTGAACATCGGTAAAGTCCATCAGTGAGATTCCAGGATGTTATTTCTTTCTAGAAATAATAAATTTTTAAAAATCACTGCTGTGTTAGGATCCCCCTTCACTTCATTTTGCCACAACTTCTGAAAATTTGCTTCTCCCTTCTTTGAGTTCTGAAAACTTGTTAACACACATGTCCATGTTGGTATGAACTCTGTGTCACTGTTGAAGAGATTTCATTTCATAAAATACTGAAGGGTAGGTTGGGTGCAGATCTGTCATAATTATTGGCAGCAACTTAATGTATTGAAATACACAATAAGCTAGTGAAAAATATAAACACCTGTCTAGTTGTTGGCTTGTCATCAGAGCCCTGCTTCCAGCTTTCAGTTAAGCTTTGACTGAAAAATGAGACAAGAAGTTTGATCCCTTGTAATGGTCTTTTCACTCCGCCATTGAACTAAGTTTGTATCTTTTTCATTGGCATAAGTGATATACGCTGTCTTAGCTGAGTGAGGTTGAAGTCAATGGATCCTGAGAGAGAAGGGGACAAAATAAAATTTCAATGTGAAACAAGACAGATTTGATTAGTTAAGAGAAAATTTAGAGTAGAAGAAGTAATTCTGATCAGTCAAATTTGACCTACTTGTCTGAACAAACATAGAAAGAAGGAATTTTTAAGTTGTTTGGCCTTTATGCTTATGATATTGAGACCCTGAGAGAGAATCTGAAATTACAAGAGAGAATCTGAAATTAGAAGAGATGATACCATGTCTATGCCAATATGTGGTTATTTTTGTGGGTTTTTTTGTTTGTTTGTTTGTTTGTTTTTAGAATTGAAGCAATTATACAAATAACTTGGGTAAAATATTTTACTTAAATTATCTAATTTAAATGAGGTAATTACATATTTTTCAAGCAAAAATTAACTTCCATCTCTAGTTGCCTGAATGTTTCAACCTAATATGTTGTGATAGACATAGATTGAAGTTTAGTCCTTTTGGAAATAAAATATTCACAATAAATATATGTATTCTTCCTCCCAGCTATAATTTTATCCAACAGTGGTAAATAATTGCATGTGAGGCTTTGTCTCTTTGTTGTTTCATTGTTGTTGTGGTTGTGACAAGCATTCCTACTGTATTGGCAGTGAAAACATTTTTATAGTGAGTATTTTTGTCACTTAAGTAGAAACATCTTAAATTTGGGAGTTAGATGGCTATTTAGGTGTTTAAATATTTAGGTGAAATTTCAAGGAAAATATATACACACACACAAAGTCAGTACTTGACTCTTTTTCTTCCTGAGTGGACAAAATTTAGTTTTTGTTGAAAAATTGGGATACGGAATGGTCAAACAATCACGCTCTTACATATTTTCACACCAGTGTTGCAGACCTGGAAATTTGCTGTGATGAAAACTGATACCTCATGATTGAGTTGTACTTACTGAGTACTTCAGATACATCCTGCCTCAGCAGAGTTCTATCTTAGGCTGTGCTGAGTAAATTTTACAGTCTCTTTGTTTACAGTCTCCCTTCTCATCCAAACACTTTTCAGTATGGTCCGACATTAAATGATTATCCCTTGATGCTCTGAGAAGGGGATGTTAGATGCCAGATACATAGTACATGTGAAACAGAAGGTGTATGTGGAAAGAAAAATCTCTCCCCACCAGTGGGATACCTAAAATTCTAGGTAGCATCCTAATATCT